TCTCTCTCTCTCTCTCTCTCTCTCTCTCTCTCTTGGTGACTCACTCCAAAACAGACAGACAGAGGGCCACCGTGAAAACCACAAAGGGTCAAGCGGATACAGAGCATTAAATGTAAACCATGACTCAGAACATAGTTTAAATATTCGTTAATATACATATTCCCCCTTTATCACCATCTATCAGGGACCAACACGTGGATTATCAACTGCAGTCAGGCGTACTATATCAAATATCTGTTTGTAATGTGGCTTGTATAAGTCATTATACTTCTAAAATAGAGTAGATATCTATGCGTAATCGGTAAAACCCAAAGAAGGGGATCTCCCTGGGTTCTAAGCCATATCTTGAATTAGGAAGCGTTTCAAGTTAGTTTCAATTTAATGAAACGACAGAATTATCGTCAAAAGATAATGCATACATGTAACACTTGTTTAACGTGATAGGAGGTTCTCTTATCTGAAATATCAAAACATTTTGAACACCTGTGCAGGTGTAAGACAAACAAAAATCCCTCAGAGTGATAATCATTTTTTTAAAACTGCTTGCTATCTAATTTGATGACTGCCGTTTTCTTTCTCCAGAATGAGAGCTAGTACCTAAAAAATGTAGGCCCTGCTGAGCGCGAATTGGGACGTGTATATCTAATATAGGCGCACAACGTGAATAATTTACAGCAATAAATACATCGTCTGCATAACGAACAGCACACTTATCCGGTTAACTGTGTCGCGGGTAAATGAATGAAAACATATAGGGTTCAAGAATGCAGGAAGTGCAACAATAAATCGTCTACAAAAGGTCAGAGGTCGGCAGGGCACACGTGCATTTTAACCCAACCAAGACGAGACATTGAAAATATTTAGCAAGTAATTTAACTGGCACAATAAATAAAATGTCAAAATACCGGTGTAAGTTATAATGGTATAGAACCAAAAAAAAATGCTTTTGAAAATGCTCTTCGTTTCCACAATCACTGATTTATTGTTGCCGTTGTTATATTAGGAATCCCTATTGCCTGTGTTTGGTAATGGTGAAAATAATCAAAACCGTAATAAAACTGCTTGGGTCACAAAAGGAGAAGAATAAATCGGAATGTCATTGAAAGATGAACACATGAGAGTGAAAGAAAATTACCGAATACGGGAGTCACGTTTTGTCAGACTTGTTATTTTTTAGCGATGTGCAAGACGCAGCAGAACGCGTGGAATGTTGGCATTATACAGTGCCCAACAAACAAGTCAAACGACTTATTTACAAATCATATAACTTATCGTCGAGGATTGCGATCCCTCTTTGCTTTCTCATGCCATAAAAACCAAACAGAACAGTATTGTTCCCAGTGCACCGTTTGTACTCAGCGGTGACTCACGATTTAGGCTACTGACTGCCGATCTTCAGCCGGCAGGTGAGCGACCACATTACTGGGGGACTTCTGCTACAGTTTCCACAACATGCCAAAAAATATATGCCCCCACTAATTTGAGATAATGTGAACCATACGAGAGCCCTGCAAAACCCCTGCTTTGTTGCTAATGCTCTTTTATCTTCTTCTTACATTTATTTATGTAAGATAAAATAAATGATTTCACGCTCCATTCAAAAAGCCACAGATTAACTTGACAAAATCCCCAACGGTATGGCTTTTTGAGCATGGACCTAATTGAAGAGTAATAGCTGAATAGATTTTACCGCAAAGGTATGAAAACAAATTCAACAGGTTCGCCCTGGCTAAGACAGCGTTATAGTAACACCTGTACAACTTGGCTGTGAGTTCATTCATAAAATCTCGTCATCGCTATGGACCTATCAGATCACGTTACGTGACAGACGTCATTCGATTAGATCTCCTCGTGCTCTCAGGTAATAGTAGTGTCCGATTTGAGGACAGCAGAGCCGACAGCAGCTGAGCGTTTGCGTGTATATCAGATATTTTGATAATATTCCCCTTAAAAATCATGTATGACTCATGCCGAGAGGAACAATCAAAATTTTATCTCTCATTTACATGTAATTCATACTATTTTTTTTACCTATTTTATGAATGCCTTTTTATTATGCAAATAAACGTCACTTAATGAAGCATGTCACTGATTTTTGAAAGAATAAAATAATGAAGTTAAATAAGTTAAAACTTAATACATCTTTAACATATTTGTGACATAAATTTAATTGGAAAAGATTAAGAATTAAGATCCAAGGATAACAATAATCAAAAATCGCAAGCCAAAGTTATCTTCCTTATTTATAAATTTCATGATCATTCCGTCAATTTTTTAATTGATGATGTACAGATTCGGGTACGCCACAGACAGTGATAGCGAAAATGACAATGAGGAACGTCAATACAGACGTAAATTTACCTAACGTATGCAGTAGCGTGTCTAGTAAATCTACGTATGACTCATCCAAGTAATTCCTATAACTTGTGCATCTTTCTAGGGCAGCATTTTTTTCCTGATCTTCAGCCGCGATTTGGGCCAAACTACGCGTGTCAGATGATGTTAAATACTGTGAATGGATTTTTAACCACCTGTAATGCTTGCACGACAATTTGTAAAGGGCAACTTAGAGAGGGGGGTGTCTGGAAATAAGTGAACGCCCCGCTCGTGTGCTTAAGCACCCTATTTATCACAATAATTGAATTGTTAAGAGTTATGGCGTTTTACTGGCATGGTAAATGTTAATTTAGAGCGCGTGTGCATTACGCGCGAAAGTTACATGCATCCACGCACATACGCATACGACAAAATATACAGATATGACCAAACGCCTATATCACTCTATTAGCGTTTAGTGTTTTTACAGTACAACATTTTGATACCCCCCTCACGCAACGTTAACTGTCGCAGTGTGCATTCATTTTAACACGCACGTAACAATTTACACGTACACGCACACACGCAGAGTGACAGATCAAGGGATGCCTCAAGTTTGATCTCGTGCACATCTGTGTCAGCTCGAGTGCCATGTTTTGGACATGCAATACATCAAATCCGGTAATCGTAATGCGGCATATGTTTGTTAAAAAGCCTCTTTCAACAGCGAAAGTTTTCACCACAAAATTCACAAAATATCATGCGGTTTGGGAACAGCTTGAAAGGATTTGATTAAGCGTAATGAAATGTATGTGCCCAATTGAAGTTAAAAGTACCCTGGGTATCATAATTACTGGTAATGATTAAATCATCATCAATAAATCTCTTCCAATTTTTCACTCAAATCAACTCTTTCTACGAATCACCCCTTCTGCTTAATCTACCTGTTTAATAGATTCCGGGTTCGACTATCTCGTCCCTCTCTGTGTTCTGTCTTCAATGGGTAATTGTCTCTTAACACTGTGCAGTGAAATTCAATGGCACTGCCATAATTGTTAATGCTGATTGTTCCAGTCAGGTAGAAATAACCACTGTCCCACTGCTGCTAACACTGTCACTGACACTGTGTATAGAACACCTAACATTGAAAATTGCAGTTCGCCGCAGATTCTGTAGCTGTTTCTGTGAGGCAAAAATGTTTTGTCCTGTCGCTGGCGCTGTCACCTCAATATTGCCTTTATATCTTTTTAAAATAGGAAAACCCCTTACGACTTCCCACGTCTCTGTGAAAAATTGTCTGCAAAACGAAAGAAGCAGATGAATCAATCCCTATTGCAGCCCTATTGCGGAAGAGGAGAACCAACACTCGTTTGTTTGATGTCAGGGGTACCTGAGCGCGTGCTGTCAAATCTGAGTGTCGCGACACCTCTTTCCTACTTATACGCACTGCAAACGATGACCTCATCGCTAGCGACTTCTACTCGTGCGTTTAACAGAAGCAGGCACCTAATCGTCAGACACGAGTGAGAAAACATAGACAGGCTAATCTTAAAACATTGATGTCACCCCGTGTCGTCTCCATAGACCATACGAACCCCCAGACCTTACAATTTTAATAAATTGTGTTGTAGTTCAGCATTGTTCGCGTAATAAAGGCATTGAAATAATAAGGTCGATTTAGCGGTATTGTTGGTAATGCGTTAAGTCTAAGTACCACTTCATCGCCGCACCGACCTCCGACCCCCTGAAAACCGCGATACATTTTTTGGTGAATTTTAGTCGCATTAAGAAATTTGATCTTACATCGATTTATGAAATCGTACAAAAGCAACGGCATGTGTAATTGTTTAATAAGAAGTCGTCTAGTATTTCGTGGCGACGGCGAGATCATTTTCAGGTACAGAATGGCGGGGGCTGGTTAAGATGGTTGGGACTGGTGGTCGGTTACAAGATGGTGCGACCGAGAAGTGGTACTATTTAGTGCAAGTATTCTTTATTCTGTAATTACACCCTATTTGCCAACACCCATTTCTCTCTCTCTCTCTCTCTCTCTCTCTCTCTCTCTCTCTCTCTCTCTCTCTACACACACACGTTCTAACACGCACACACACACACACACACACACACACACACACAGAGAGAGAGAGAGAGAGAGAGAGAGAGAGAGAGAGAGAGAGAATCATTGGTAGCACATACATACACTCTGCAACACTCTGGGAAATACAGTACACACCTAAGTACGAGGGCCCACCCTAACATAACGCAAATCACACCGACATCAAAACAGCGTGTTAGTGTCAATTTGTCAACCGTCTGTGTGTTTGTGTGTGGCATATCCCCCGGGCACTACAAAGGTTAATGAAGTTGTCTTACACAAAACGGACAATTAGCGTCCCCTTTAACACTCTTTCACCATCGTCACCTAGGGGTCCTAGGCGGGTCATATCACTTGTAGAAAACTAATATATGGATAGTCATATTTCCGTTTCACAACAAAGCGTAGATAAAAGGCGGCGTGCCAAAGACATGGGTGATACAGGTGACAATTTTAAAGACAATCCTGACCCCCACTGTTCTCGACAGAACGCCGGCGTTTCAGACTAAAACGGTTGCCCGCCAGAAGAGTGTTGACACACGGCGCTAATCTAACATCAAAGTGAGAAGGGACCCCTGATAGTGCCGCCCGTGGCGCTGGGGTACAAGGTGAGTCATCCTCGTAGTAACCTTGTTAATACGGACGACTAAAGAAGTAAAACTGTGTCGTTTTACTTTGTAATTTTTCAACTATCTGTAACTGCTGTGACAAGACCGGCGGCTTTTAGCAATGCAAGTATCTCCGTTATGTATATACAGCATTCAACGTGCAGCTAGAGGACGATGGCTGTTTGATATTGAACAATAAACATAATTTTTTAATAATTTGATAACACTACGGTGTGAAATATCACCGGCACCACAGCGTTACGTATGACTTTTCACTACCTACTAGGGGTGAGTGTTGTCGTCTGCGTTTGGTAGAGAGAGATCTTGCGTGTGTGTGTGTGTGTGTGTGTGTGTGCGTGTGCGTGTGTGTTGGGGGTGGGGGGGGGGGTGAAGACGGAAATACATCAAAGGCGTCTTCTCCATGAAGCGCGTTTTCATTTCTCTAGCGTGTATCAAATCTAGGAACCACGTTGGGCTGTCACTGTGCAGATAAGAATTCCAATCTGTATGTCCTATACACATGGGCCCTATACCTTGCACGTAATGTAAAACGAGGGGTCAACCCCCCCCCCCCTAATTTGAATTAGTGCATGAGTCACACTGGCAGTGCCTGGACTGTCTCAAGGAAGAGATCGCAAAGCTGAAGAGTAACCACACATAAAATCGTAAAATTAACTGACGAACTGAGTAAATTTGTTACGCTTGGGCCAAACACACAATGCGCACTTAGCTGTTGCATTACTTTTTCTTCGTTTTAGATATATCATGGTCCATAGGAGGCGCACGTGGATTTATCTTCGGATCTTCAGATGTATGCGTCACTTAGTTTTTATATAAAAATCTTCAAGCAAAACCCCAAAGTTATAATGCATACACATACACGCAAAGAAACGCGGTGATATTTAAGGGCGCATTAACACGCAAACACTAAATAGATCCCATGATGACATGCACAAACACACATGTAAGTTCTGTCACACGCTATTTATGAAGTTCAGAAAAACACGCCGTTAGCATAATATCTTACAGAATTATTTCTTACAACTTCTATACACAGGAACTTTTAGGACGCGATAAGCTTTAGAGCTTTATATCATTTAAAAAAATTTCCAGCAAAAATCCAACACTTCCACTTAATCACCAAGGCATGCCATGTCCAATACTGTTTATGGTATTACGATATAAAAATTTAGAGCCACTTTTGTAATGGAGATAAGACTGGTGAAAATGGGTATGTAGGTCCTAAGTTCTTTTTTAAGTTTTTTTTTTTTTTTGATAAGTATGCTAAATAAAGGTCTGTATGCCTTAACAAACGAACGTGAAATGGTCAAAACGATAAATAACATCACAGTGCCTTGTCATTTCACTTGTATCTCTTCGCTGTTAAAATATTCACCTTAACGACAAAATAATTGACCGTCAAATCTACCGTGCACCTGCTCACACCCGGCGGCTACAGCTTTTGTTGTGGTTGACGTTGGGACTAAATAGAGATGCATATCAACCGGCATCGGTGTAGTAGGTGACCGCGGAACACGTCTACACGCTGTCTCACTTTGCTTCTGATATCTAACATTTCGGTTATTTTTGTCAAGTCATACGTGATGACAAGGTCAGGGAATAACGAGGAAGTCAAATGTCTGGTATAAATGTAATATTCTATGGCTTGTTACAGCGTGTCCCCGTAATGGGCTTTTGTCGACTTCCGTACTGACATGTAGATTAAACTGAGAGAGAGAGAGAGAGAGAGAGAGAGAGAGAGAGTAATGAGTTTTTAAATATGCATTTAGACTTTTATAAACCTTTATAATTAGCCGTGTCAACTTTCTGATGCACCAGAGAATTATAAAGATTCACTTCAACTTGTTGTACTCATCAAATTGTGTCAGCTGTGACAATACGTCACAATCTAAATCAATTAGGATGCGCTGTCTAATCAATTCGGTCTTACTCAAATCTATCTTTCGTGCATTAAATCCTTTCATTTTTTGACCTGTTGATACATTAATACATTATCAAGCTACGACACGCCAGTAATTTGTTTTTGCAATTTACAAGTCCTCAAGTACATCCGTAAGGTATTATGGAATTCAATGCTGCAATAACAAATTGTCACAAAGCTTTTCTGTCCATGCCCTAAAATTCTCTTAGTGTTTTATACTAAATATCGTCTAACCAACGATCAGGTTGCACTGCAATAGACGCACTTATATACTAGGTGAAGAAAGGGACCAATGAAAAGTGGGGCTAATTTGCAAATATCGGTGTAACCGAACTTAAATCAACAAAACCTGAATACGCGTGAAATATAGTTTTACTGTAGTTTGTGGTTTTAGACGTAACCTCAGCCGTACGTGTCTTTCTTTAACCTGATTTCGTCCAATGCGCTTAGTCTTAATCATTAAGGATAATGTAATTTTACCAACAGGTCTATTACTTTTTCGGTACAAGAACTTAAGTTGTCAAAAGATATTCGGCCATACGCTCGTCGCGGCGAAAAAAAAAGCGTAAATGGGTAAAAACAGGCATCAGCTTGAAAATCACAACAACTAAAAAAGCAAGGCCACCGCTTGAACCCCGCGACAGGCCGTCAGAGTTGAAGTTTTTAATTGCCCGCATGTTGAGGACACGTGGCAGAACCGCTGTTGAACAGCTGTTGTCGCGCGTTAGCCTTGAGATTTGGCTGTGCGGGGGAGTTCGACGCGCGTTAGCCTTGATCGGCAACAGCTGTGTGTGGGAGTCACAAATTACCCGGAAACACAATAACATAACTCACAACCGACATCTGTGGTCTAGAATGATATTTCTTGTTCTTGTTTAGTCTGGCTGCACTAACGTCTAGCAGCAGTGCACTTTGAGAGATGGGACAACTGATACACTCTGGTAACATTACGCACAGTTGGTTCATTGTGCTGGGTCGATGAACGACGCCTCCGCCTTCCAGCTTAAGATTTGGTTCAGTTTCATCTCCTGTTCTTTAACGTTAGTAAGGTTAACTAAACTTATATTATCGCGTTGCCCTTCAGTCAGTTCCTTCGAGGGTGTTGCATCTAGCTTGCTAAATGACTAAATTTCTGACTGACTTTTCGAAAGTAGATAGTGAAAACATTAATTACTAGTAGTTAGCCAGCTAATTTTTTTAATAGCTTAGTCATTATTTGCTAACTGACAAGTCAACTAAATAACCTAACTAACAAAGCAAATCACAGGAAAAATAGGCTTAATGAGCCCAAGTACACAAATTGGAATATTTAATCCCCCGCACAGCCAATTTTTTTTTGCAAATCATATGGGCGAAAAAAAAAACACGAGAGGATCTACAGTGCCAGTAACGGCAATAGTCATTGCCTCATAGCATAAACGCACACACACACACGCGCACACACACACAGCGTTTTCATGCGTTTTAACAGAATCTGTTACACCAACTTATTTATGAGTAATGTTTACATTATATGCAGCAGACGGTGCTAAGTGGACAGTTCCTGACAAATTGCGCCGACTGAGTCACCGGGTCTAGATCACATATCACAATAAACACCTGTAGATGGCAAGAAATGTGAAGCATCCTTACAACGCCAACCACAATCTCCATGAATCACTTCATTCAATAAAAAGTCGTTTTTGTACAGGTATCAAACTGTGAACCATCTTTAAGAGATTTAGCGAATTTGACATAAACCATTTGTGAAAGGATGATAATGTTTGTATGACTTGTATATATATGTAAATCCATC